CGCGCTGGTTGAAATGCTGCTGACCGCCCTTTGCAATGCGGGGGCACCAAACTCAACGCCCGCCGGGGTTTGGGCGTTTTTTTGTTTTTTCTTCTTCTGGTGGAAGGGGGTGACCGGGGTGGGGCGGTTGTTGTTGTTGTTGTTGTTGTTGTTGTTGTTGTTGTTGTTGTTGTTGTTGTTGTTGTTGTTGTTGTTGTTGTTGTTGTTGTTGTTGTTGTTGTTGTTGTTGTTGTTGTTGTTGTTGTTGTTTTTTTTTTTTTGTTTTCTGGTGGAAGGGGGTGACACCTGCATGCGTTCAAGTGCCACCTTTTACTGTAAACGCGCTGGTTGAAATGCCCCAAGGTTGCAACCCAACAAGTCAAAAGACATCCCTCCCACCAATTCGCTACCCAAGCCAGGCTTGGGTAAATGGCAACCGAAGGAAAGCCGCCTAGTCAGGCGTCCAAGTATTTTGCAACTCGTTTTATGGACACAGCCTTCTAAAACGAGGAAGGTTTCCTTTGGATGCCAAACTTGTCAAGAGGACAACGCCGGCTCTATGTTAGCCGTAGCCTTATGTTGCTGGTATACAGCTAATACCTGCTACTGCGGGGTATACGGTATCCCAGCGAATTGCAGAGGATGCAACCCCAGTGCCACCTACAGGCATAATCATAGAAGTGAGGAAATTGGAAGACAAATGGAAACCCCGGCTAAATAACTTCCTGGTTTATTTATAAGTGGTGTTTCCCTTGGGGTCAGACTACTTTCGGGGTTTTCCCCCTCCCCCGAAAAATCGATGAATTAGCCAGTGGTATATTCATAGGTGGTGCTTCTTTGGGGGTTTTCCCCCTGGCCCTTAAAACAACGGGATGAGTCAAGTTTCATTCATCCCAGATCTCTGCGTTGACAGGCCTTGAGCTTCAGGTGTCGCCCTACATCAAGTCCTTCTGCTTGGAGAGGCGCTTCCATCCTTCGACCGCTTCGCGAGCGGATTCGCGAGAAGTTGCTTCTGGGGTTCGGTTTGAAAGAGAGGCTAGGTACCCCAGTAGGGCCCTTTTATCCTTTGTTGGCGGAGGGTTCCCCTACTAAAATAGACTACAGAAAAAGGGCACCCAACCTCTCTACTGGAGGACCTAGGAGGGGCTACTTTTCGTGTTCATTTGTTCTGACTATGTTATGGCGAGCTCACCTGGGGGAACGAGATCGCCATGATAAAGGTTCATACTTGGGGATGCCTCAATTCAGCTTTGGGGGTTGTGGTAAACAAATGAAGATGCTATTCCATGGTTAATGCTTTCCTTGGTTCATTCAAAGGGATTGTGCCATTTTACGGGGGAACCTTCACTTGCTGGCGAACCCCCCCTCCGAATCCGGGTCGGCATGAGGTGGAACCCTTCGGAGGAAGCAAAGCAAATGAGGACGTTGAAGCAATTGCCTGTGTGCCCAAACCAAGGATTTGGACAATTTGGAAATAAGATCAGGTGATATCCCCAACAGCATGCGATGATCTTTTTAGTGCTCGCACCACCCCGCAGCCCTCGCAGAACTTCGTGGAACCCTGGTGGAACCCTGGTGGAACCCTCGTGGAACCTTACCTCAAAGCCGCACCGGATCACCCCGAGCCTATCTGGGCTGAGACCCCAAAGCTTTCAGCTGTTGGGGAAAAAAACAAACAGCTAACAGTCACAAACGTTTCATCCCTTGTTAACACCTGGAACCCGCACGATAAAGGGGAAAGAATTGAGGTTCCACAGATGGGCGTTTGGCTTTGCCCATGAGACCTTCAGGGCCTGAGTACCCCTCTGGGCTTCCGGGTAAGCTGTGCATTAAGTCAATTCAATCATTCGGAACGTCCAAATCACCGCCGAATCGGCGGGGGTGGCACCAAACAGCACTGTTTGGTGCCCTGAGACCTATCGGCGCTGGTGAGCGCCGTAGCCGTCCATGTGCTCTACCACTACAAGGGCGGCCCCCTGTCGAGTTGGACTTTGCGGGCGAACCAGCTGCGGCCGCCCACAGAGCAACGAATGCGACCGCGGCCGGGCTCCTCCCTGCAGCTTGCTTGGCGTTGCCAGCTGTTTGCTGCGCAGCCATTTTTTTTGTTTCTCCTTTTTCTGGCACTAGGCAAAGGCATTGAACTCCACGTAGCCACCACGGAGGTGTATTGGCAGAAGCCTCTCCTCAGAAATGCACGAGGCCCCTTCTGTTTGACTGTTTGAAGGGTTTGTCGTGGCAATGCGCCAGTCTCGTCTGCTCATCGCTCAGGGAACCCCAAGCAGGTTCTACTAAACGAGGTCCGATCGCGTGCACCAAAGCACAATCATGTGTGTGTGTGTGTGTGGGTGTGTGGTTATGTGGTTGTGTGGTTGTGTGGTTGTGTGGTTGTGTGGTTGTGTGCGCGTGTGCGCGTGTGCGCGTGTGCGCGTGTGCAGCATCCTGGAACCCATCGCCGCCAAAACGTTGAATAAACCCAAAATGGGGGTAGACCTATCAATCAAATATGAAGCATTAAGCATCCGAGAGTATGATTTGCCGTCTACTTTTTTTGTGGGCCAAAATTTGTTCGATCCCTGACATTTTGGACTTCGCTTCCCTTTCTACTATGGGTGTTCTCCGCTGGCCTTTTCCACCAGCAAGAAGTGGGCGCTTTTTGCAGCAGGAGCCTGGCCTAGCTGGGTGCGTCATTCTTTTGTGGTAGCCTTTGTTCGGGATAGCCTCAAATTTGTGGTTTGGATTGGTGGTGGGGTTTGAAGCCATGATTCTTGTAAAGGGAAATAATCCCTAACCTAACCACCAATCCAAACCACCAAGTGCAGAGAAGCTATGAACTGATGAATTCTGTTCTGCGCTTGACTACTGGTGCTCAGCAGGGAATGACCGTTCCGGGTGAGGGAAGAAACCTAGAGATTCCCTTAAAGGAAGCCATAGGATGAATGGTGTATAGGGGTCATTCCAACTCATTTCCTGCCTATGCACATCAGCAAGTTGAAGCCGGAAAGACTCCCCCTTGTTTTTTCTCCTTTTGTTGCTCGCCAGTGGACAAGTCCGTTGAAGAACCACGCCTGTCAGGTTCCATTGGGAGGGGAAAAGTTATGTCGCCAGTTGCCTGAAGCTGCTGTCCTTGGCAGAGCGCCTTGGTCGGCCCGGCTACATCTTCAGCCCGGCTCCCCAGGGTCCCTGGCCGAGACGGTGGTCCGGCCCAAGCACATGGAGAAACATCATATGTCCCAAGACTAAGTTTGTCACAACAAGCAACTTGACCTGTATGGCTCGTCTCAAGATTAGGCGGCCCCCGAAATGATAAATATCATTAAAAAAAAAAAAAAAACTAAAAGGGTACCCCGACACCAAACATGTCAAAAACCTATGGCCAGTTGTTCAGTGACCCTGGTGGAAAACGAATTGGACCCCTGTTTTCAGCTGATTCCATAGTTTGGGAAACCACCAAAAGGGAAAGCGAGAAAATCCAACCCAACTGGGTGTGCCTTTTTGGGTACTCCTTTTTTCGTGGTTTCAAAGGGACACCAACAAACGGGTCCAAGGCAACGCACACCTCTTGGCTTTTTCTCCCAGGAACGGCCTTTACCCACCACAGCCTGGTCTTCTTAGCGCCTCGGCCCTTACTTGGCCGCTCGGAGCTTTCAACGGAAAGTCGGCAGCGATTCCTTGGCGGCAAATTGTAGGAAGCTCACCTAGCCAACCCGGTAGCTTCCTCAAGGGCCTCATGAATGTCCTTATGAAGGATGTTTAGGGGAATCAGATTTCTCACTCAGCTTGATCTTCAGCATTGTGCCTATATCGCTGCAAAAGCGCCTTGACTTCTCGAGCTTTAGGTTTTGTAAAATTGCCTGGGCTATTCGAATTTCCGCACCTCAGGATGTCTACAAGGGTGAAACTGCCAGTTTGGGGGTCGCCAATTTGAAGACACATATCTGTATATATATATATATATAACACGCAGTGTTGTTCATGCTAAAGGTGCCATTGTCAACAGATCCTGTTCGACCTGTGAGTGTTCTTTGGCGGGGTGCTATTCAAGCAGGCGATGGAGGCACCTGTTGGCTCTAAGGTTCGACTCACCTTCATCCTTGAGGGCTCCTTAAAAGATACCATGTTGCAACCATGTGAAACATGTGGCTTTTTTTTCACCAAAATAAATGATTTTGCCCATTTGAAGCATGGCTTTGTCCACCAAAATAAAGGATTTTGCAACCATTTGAAGCATGGCATTGTCCACCAAAATAAAGGATTTTGCAACCATTTGCAACATGTTGCGTTTTTCACCTTTGAGTAAAGGGAAACCACCAAAGCAATGTTCAGGTGTATAATGTAAGGATCCCTGTACCAATCCCAAAGACAATCCCTCTGAAGTGCACAGAGCCCTTGGAAGCACAACTTGTCGTCTATTGCTAGAAGGGTAACGCCTGCAGGAGCGGGGGGTTTGGATACAGATGGAAGGGATCAAGTTCAAGGGGGACACAAAATGAAGGTGGACCAGAATCAATGGAGCCTTCCTTTGACACTGTGTTTCCTGCCAACAAGCAAACAGATCGACATTTGCAAGGGCGCAGGTTTGGACCACCCCCAACTTGCATTGCCCACATGCTTGGAGGGTAGGAACGTCGGTTGCAACCGATTGGAGCGGGACAAACTGAAGAAAAGCCAACCGCTTGCGGTCCCCTATCCTGAGAAACCCAGGTGGATCTTGTCTTTCGTTGGTTTCCCTGAAATTGTGTGTAATCTGTCCGCCTGAAAGCTTTCAGAACTTGGATTTCTTGAAAGCCAGTGGCAGACACCTCAGGCAACAAACAAAGCACGGTCAATACTTTCCAATCAGGCGTGCCATGTTTGGCCAGATTGTCGGAACTGAACACCCCAGAAAGAGTTGCAGCTTGGATTTAATCGAGAGTTGGGCAGCACTGCCTGCACATCCGGGTACTCGTGTAGCTCTAATCGATTCGATGGTTCAACTAGTTGCAACAGCCGGATCATATTGTTACGTATCTATTTTACTGGACATGGGTGTCTCTGCAGATTTCCGGCACCCCCATATGCCGGGTTCTCTTCGATGTCCCTGCTTGCATCGCAAAGAGAGAGAGAGAGAGAGAGAGAGAGCAGATTGGCTGTCTGAACTCCAACCGCCCGGCCTGAGAATCCGTTTGACACACTGTTGGACGGCTTCTCTCCAAGCGTTGAAAGCTCATACGGGGTGCACGAGTTCTGCTGATACATGTTTGAATCAATCATCACAAGAGATTTGGGCTGCTGACTGCCTGAGCATGTTCAGACAAAGGCCCTGGCGTTGCCATGACAACTCTGGATACATGTGGAGGCCACACTCATTTGTAGTGATTTCCCTTTAGTGGGTAGTTAGTTCATTTAGGTAGGTTTTGCGGATTAGTACGCTCCAGAGTATGGTCTGCCAAGTTGACATTGCTGGTGGGGTTGATTGCAAATGCGGACCCCCCCCCCCCCCCACAACTGATGATTTCCCTTTGGTTTCCCTTGAACCTCCCCCCCCCCAAACAAAAACACCGAAAGACAAGAACATTCAAACAACTCCCAACTCCCGAGTTAATTTGGTACCATTGGGGGGGTGGTTTCAAGGGAAACCACTAGGAAGCGGTCTTTGAGACACCCACCGCAGTCATCAATGCAGGTGGAGATGCTGAACAACCTGGCCGGCGCCTTAGATCCGGTCCCGTCCCACCGACCGCAAAATGGGTCTGTCCTTTTGAGGGGTACCCAATGTTTGGTGATTTCAGAAAAAGAGTGGGGAAAACCACCATTTGTTGGGGTTCCTTAAAAAAGGACCCCCCCAAAAGGAAATTATTAGAAAATAACACAATAAAGGGTACCCTTGAAAAGAGACACTACCCAAATGGGGTTCCTTGTGGTGCCGTTTGCTGAGAGTCCCACCCGTTGTGATTAGGCAAAAGAAAGGGACTCCCTAAAAGCCGCCAAAGACAGGTACTCTAAAACTATGACAGACCCATACTGCATACGGTGGATGAACGAAATCCGAGATGGTAGGTTTATCGAAGTATTCATAGGGCTTCGTCCGTGCCGCAGCACTGGGAAACCGCCTTGTCCATGGTGGGTAAGCCTTAGTTTCCCACCAAACCTGCCAAAAAGGGGGCGTGCTTGTTCAATGTGCCGGTTGGGGTAACATACAATGCCAATTCTGGTCCGAACGATGCTGTTGATTGTTGCGATTTGGACGAGTAAGCAATTGTGATCTCATCAGGGAAACTGACCGACAACATCTGGGTGTGCTTTTGCTTGCGGGCACCTTTTTTTGTTTTACAACAAAAAAAATACAACTCAGAAGAAAAAACACTATTTCGGCAGGGCCCCTAAAACAAGACACACCCATTTGTGCTTGGCAAGCCCTTTCGCAATGGGATTGGGCGACTTCAGCGGTGGCTGGTGACAGCGACGACACGGAAGAAGTTGAGACTGATGAGTCGGGGATGGCGGTGTGCGGCCACTACCTCCCACCGGACTGCAAGGATTGGCTCAAGCGGCCCGAAGACGAGGCGCTGCAAGCGGCCCCTCGTGGCCGCGTTCCGTTCAGCAGACGCGCAAGCAAGCTGGGACGAGGAGGCGGACGGCGGACTTCCTTTTTTTAAATAAAAGGTTTTGTTCCCAAGGAGTGAAGAAAATTGTGTGCCAAACGGTTCCGCGACGTGACCATGCATGGTTGTGAATTGGTTCTGGAAAGATTTATTTAGATCTGGGGGGCATAGCCTTATGCAACTCAGTTCTGGTAACGTCTCCTGAGCAAGGTGCTAGACGAATGGAAACGAGGGATTTCAGCTCCCTCCGGAGAGGGACTTGGGCAGCGTTTGGTCGCATTTCTTGCATCCTTACCCTTTCGTTCCACTAACATGGAGCCCACCAAAGACTTTCCTTGAAACGACAGGTTCCTCGTTGCACGGTGGTCCTTGCCCCTTGAGAATATGACTTTACCTTCCCAGGTTTAGGGTTGCACATGGACCCAGGTTTGGGTTCTTCTCCAGACAAGCGGCTTCGAGTTTCGGGCAGGAAACGGTGCGCGCGGTGCGCCTCGGCCGCTGGCGAAGCCATGTATTCAACTTGTGTGCACAGTAGCATGCGGGTTTCGCTTTCTTGAGCATAGGTGTTCTTTTCAGGTTGGTTTGGCTAAACATAGATGGTACTAGCTTAGATTGGGTTTACTTCATCCATTGTATCAAAAGCTAGTACCATCTGTTTTATCATAGGTGTCCATAGATTGGTTTCCATAGGTGTCCATAGGTTTACTTCATCCAGGGAAGCCCATCTATTTTATCCAAAGGACATGCCTCTCAGAAATCCTTGGGCTTATGGCGGCCACCGAAAACGCTGCCCGTGTATCCCCTCAAGAATGGACTTGGGGCAGGGGGATTTGAGTTCGACCCCTTGGAGATCGAGATCTCCACTTGTAGCCCATTCTTTGCTACGGGGACTGGAGAAATGGAGTTGGGGACCCCCCCCACCCCCCACCCCCCTTCCCCTTGGGATACCCTGGCTGGTTTCTGCGCAGCCTGAGGTTCAGTACCAGTACGAGGCGGGGCGGTCAGAAAGTCCGGAATTTCACCGCCATGGTTTTTTGGGGGGGTCTGCAAATTTGCACCGGAAAAGAAAGGCGGGTGCCGCCAAAGGAGTTTCCGCTAAATGGTCATGGTTGCAGTTAGCATGGAAAAAGGGGGGTGCTGCCACAGGAGGTTCCTCCATTAGCAAGGAGTTTTCTTAGTAAGGGTGATGGTGGCTTTGGGTTTCACGTAAATTTGCAGGATAATATTGTTCAGAATGGTGCAAGTCCTAACCTATGCCACAGCTGCATTAGAAGAGGTTTCGTCACAAGGGTTCAGCGTCTTTTGGGGAGGTTCACACATCACCCAAAATGGCGCAACCAACAGTGCTGCCATTCCCTTATGTTCAGACCGACCTGTCAAGGCTGCTGTCAATGTGGAGGGGTTGACGGGGATTGTTAGACCTTGACAGACAAACAATAACAAGGATGGCCCTATACAACTAGGTCCCCCAGTAGTGCCCTTTTACCGTTTCCTTTTTTGGGGAGGGTTCCCCTTCTTCAATAGACTACAGAAAGAAAAAGTCCGGTACCAACTTATTCCACGCCCTCTACTGGACCAAAACAAGGATCAGTTTAGCGCAAGGATGGGCCAAGGACCGCGAGTGGTGAGTTGCTCAACGCAGCTACGGCCTAAGTGCTGCTGTCCTTGTAGTAACTCACAGAGGCTCATTGAACACTTGTTTGGCTGTGGGTCAAAACCGTTGTGGGATCCCATTTTGGTTGGTAGGTGAATTCACCGATTTTAGAACCTATTTTAGTGGGGATTGGGATGTGGCCTGGGGGTACGATTTGGATTTTGAACCATATCCATTTGTGTTCATCGCAGAGAACTGCTCCTCCAAGTCTTGTAAGTGGCAGTCATGTCCTTTCAGTTTTGTGTCAAACCTTCCAAACAAAGCCTATGTTGATTCTTAGGAAAGGTAAGAAATAAGATGAGTCGTTTGAGGCGACACTGGCCCCAATGTCAGGCGGACCAGTGAGTACATGCATGAAACTTTCCGAACCAATACAAAGCAAAAGCGGGGGCGGGGCGGGGAGGGTGGGTTCTCACCATTGCTAAACACTTCGCGGTTCTGAGTATTTCTTAAAATGGTGGACCCCCGTGGTATTTGAAGGGCACCAGTGTTTTACGAGAACGACTCGAGCCCAATTTGGGGTTAATCAAAGATTTACTGCCAACACACTGTTGCTGGACAAATTCCACTTCGCACCATTTGACATTTCTTAAAGCCCGTCGCAGGGCAACGTGATGATGGTGTACGCCATCCTGCGGCAATCGCAGGTGCGCTGAACCCTGGGCGGCGCCGTTTAGCTGATTGAACCCTGGTGAAAAGCAGCGTTTCGTTTTCATAAGGGCTCCAAGGCCTGTTGTCAAAGCCGATTCTGCCCAACCCTGCCTAGTTACCATCAGACAATTTACACACCCAGTGGTTTGTAGGTGTCCCAGATCATGATCACATTGCACAAAGTATGCGTGCCAACTCAGGTCCTATTTTCAGACATTCGCATCATCTGACATCGAGAGGCATCTATTGGCACGTCCCAAAGCAAAGTCCAAAGCTAAGAATCCGGAAGGACAACATGCAAAGCCAGGGACTCCTACTTAGATGTTCGGCCAAGCTAGAAAGTGGTTAGCTGCTTGAGTTAGACAACCCATACATCACAAGGCCAACTGCAGGCGGCCTTAGAAGTGAGTTATAACCCAAGTCAGCAAACACTGATTAACTTGGCCGAACTCTCAAGTACCTTGTTCGTGTAACTGAACCCAACAAGCGCCGGAGTATCCCTGGAGTGGGAAGCGCCCATTTGGCACATCCAGAAGGGTCCAGCAAGGGCAGCGACGCCCTGAAAGAGATAGGGGAGGCACGATCAAAACCCGGAAGGTTAGCAAGGGACAGTCGCCCACAATTCGGTGCGGCCTCCCTCTTTGCTTTTGCAAGATGTTGGGCGGACTCGCTTAGTGCCAGTTTTTATTGTGACTCCGGGTGCCTCAATAGCCCGCAATATGTTCATTTGTCCCCCTTGGCACGCACAGTTTTCGGGGAAGTTGGAAGTGAGTTTCCCTCTTTGGAATGATGTGGGGAACCTTTCGCCATGTCCGCCCGCTCCAAACAAACGCATCCAAGAAACGCAGCCAAACTGCGCGGAACTCAGTCATGTGGACAGCCAACTATATTGGTTTCCATAGAAGAGCTGTGCTCAATTGATAAGAGCGAGCCCCCAAACGAGGATTCAGGTCTCACAAATGAAGTACGCCCTCGACTTATTTTCGAGGCAAACAAGCAGGAAGCACAAAGTGTAAAGGAAGCCCAAAGAAGCCAAGTGGCAACCAAAAGGCAGCCCAATCAGAACCCCCCCCCCCCCAAAAAGAAAAGAGGAAACCCAACAAGAAGCCAACAGATCAAGAGGCAAAATGACCAAGAAGCCAACCGCGAACTAAACGGGCACACCAAAGCGCCCCGCCTTTTACAGGGTCCAACTCGTTTTCAGAAACTCTTCTTCCATTTGCTGAAATGAAGATAGTTTATTTTCCTTTGTTGGTTTTAAAGGGAATCGATTACACTACCGGAAATATTTCTCGAAAAGCAATTTTCCCCTGTTGGTTTTAAAGGACATCTATCACTACTGGAAATATTTCCATTTTTTCCAGGGGTCGCAAAACCAAATGCAAGTCTTGGGGGACAAATCTTCCGTCCGTCCAGGTCTTCCAGAAGATTGGGACGCTGAGCATCGGGCGGCGCCGGCATGTGGGGCTCGGCGTGGCAGTTGAAAGCCTGGGATATTCCCAACCATTTTAGGTCTTAGGGTAGACTTACAAAGATTTTTTAGGTCTGGTAGACTTACAACCATTTTTAGGTCTTAGGGTAGACTTACAACCATTTTGGGGGTCCTAGGGTAGACTAAGTATGAAGCAGAATCTGATATAGGTTTGTACCCCGGATGTAAGCCAAGGTTCAACCCCTTTTGGTCTGCGTTTAGTAGAGGTCCCAAAAGGTGAACCTTTGACTTCCAGGTTTTTTGGTCAAGTGAGATTTGGAAATCTGGGTCAACCTCGGATCTCCCCAACAAGTTCTTCCAGCTGAAATGAATTCATTTTGTTTTCCCCCGTTGGTTTAACAGGAATCCATCTCACTGGACAGATTTGCTCGTTTTTTCCTGGGGGTTTAAGCAATGGAAGCTAAATATGAAGCAGACTCTGATATGAGTTTCTACCCCAGATGTGGGCCAACATTCAACCTACTCAGTACGTAGTTTATCATAGGGACTAGTGCAACAAAAGGAGATAGTTCATATATCAACAGGCCAAACCCAGTTACTCAGTGACCTAGCAGATTGAACTTTTGGGAATGTGCTCATACGCCATACATCCGGTGATGTGTTTTCCCATTTGGAGGGGTTCCCAACTCAAAATCAAGTACCAGAAGAGCAGCAGACTCTTTAGGGTAAGAGGCAGGGTCAACATATTCTAATTTGTCTATGACCAAATTTGGGAGGGACCGGGGGGGGGGGGGCAAACTTTAAATCTCAAAAAGAAGGCGCAACAAGCCGGGCGTCGGCCGATCCACTCAAGTGAGAAAGGGGAAATCCGGTTACCGTTGATTCCCTTGGGCCAGGGTGCTTAAAAACATCTCTGGGTTGTCAGGAGGCCTCTATACGGCCATGCCTTAAACCCGAAGGTGCAGGCTGACTCGCGAGCTGGGCAGGGGTTGGTTTCTACCTGGTAAACCCTGGGGGTGTATTTTGTACATCCGTTCGTTGCTGAACCACGCAGAGCCAACAGTCAACCGATTTTGTACACCTTACTTGTCCAAAGTGGACTGACCGTTTTGCCCTTTGGCTTTCTTGTTTTGGCCATTCTGGGCAAATTATAACAAGCCCTGGGCCTTAAATGTGAAGGTTCCTTACTTGGAGATTCCTTTTTCCAAAGCGGTCTGGGAGCTCCCAGGACCGCTTAAGGCTTGGTTCCATAGAGGCCTGGGAGCTTCCATGTTCGTGGGAGTGTAGCGGTTTGACCCAGGTGCCCGAAGCTTACAGTTGGGCTAAAGTTTCCATCTAGCCTTTGTCATCCTTTTTACTTGCGGGCATAAAGGGAGTACACTGACAAGCTTGTGCCGTTGGCTGGTTGTCAACTTGTATTCCACACCTTGAAATGATTAAATTTCTTATGGTGTCATAGTCATAGGTGTCCTCTAGGATTTTAGGCTTCCAGGTGCTTCTTTGATTTTCTGTTGGTTTTCCATGAAATCCGTTAGTTTATGATGATTCCCCCGGCAGTATCAACAAACAATGGTTTCTCATGGTTTCATTTCGTAGTGCGAAATGGTTATCGTCCATCCACAGGTCCACCCAACAGCACTTCCCGATGTTCAGCCAAAATTCGCTTCTGGGAGGTGCGATTTTTGGGGTGCAAAGACGCCAGGGATGCCAAGAAGAAGAGCGAGGACGGACGCATTATTCCATTTTGGCCAAGGTTTCTTGAAGAACACGTTTGGGTGAAAATAGGGTGAGCCCAAAAATGAGGGGTTCCTTTTGATGTCCCTCTCAACCAAAAAGGGTCCCTCAAAAGACAATAGTTTCTGTATTCAGCCCAGTTTAACGATTGCCTTGTAAAGCTGATGAGGAGTCTCTTGTAAAGCATGTGGTTTGATGCGATTGCAAGCTGTTTCTTTTGTCATGCCTGGCCCGGAGGAAATGATCCTTTGGGCTCGACCTTTCCAGGGAAGAGCAACCCGGGCTTGGGCGGAGTTTCACTTGGGTTATCAAACACTGAGGTGTGCTTCCTTTTAACCTGCAAGACAAGGTGACTTTGATAGTGGGAAACCATAGCAGTTCTGAGGAAAATAAAGGGGCCCCTAAAAGTGCAGAAAGCCTCTTTCAGGCAAGATTCCGTCATGTTCGACCCAAACACACCAAACGGTAAATCCAGCGTAGGTGTTCCTCAGTACCTTGACCCATCATCTTTCTTTCACGGGCATCCTGCGATTGCAAAGGCGGGCAAAACACCTTGTTGGACAAGAGATCGTGTGCATCTTACCTATGCACAGGCAGAGGGAGGATAGGCGGTCACGAATGTCCGCAATTTCAGAGCATGTGTTTAGGGAGTGGGGATGGAGGAAGTTGCGCATGAACGTGTTGAGGACCATGATTTCCAGCGTTTCCAGCGCACGTGTGTTCTTTGGAGTGGCATTATTCGTTATATTGTGTGCCTTGGCTCAAGGAGTGACTCAAACCTGGCCTGCCCCATTTCGAAAGCCATTCCTTTGACTTGAGGTAAACGATCTTGTTCTCGGAGCACCCCTGAAGGAAACACGGGTCTTATGGGACGCAACAGTCCCTTTGAACGACCATGGCTTTGATGTAGACGGGTGTCTGAACTGGACAGCTAGCTTTTGGAAGGAGCATCGAAGCCAAGCAATACGAGTCGCGTTGCTCGCTGGGCGATGCTTTGGAAGGCGGAAAATTTCTCACTCCCCGATGGACTTTAGACTTTTTGGGCAGAGCATTTTAGTGGTAAACCAAAAGTTGTTGTTGTTGTTTTTTGCGATCCACTCAGGAAGTGAGCTATGGCCGATTTATCAAAACCAGCATTTTGTTCTCATTGCATGGTACCACTGGTTTTGCGCTTGGCAACGAGTGTGTCTTGCCTCTTTTCAGGGAACCGAAAGTGGGTGGGTTGCGGATACGAACCCCTGGCTGTTGTTGAGGCTAAATGGGAGACCAGCCCACCACCAAACCGAGAGGGAAGCTGGTTTTGTTTTCATGTTCTTCGCGAAGCCAAGCGGAAACCCGCCATGCCCGAATTGTAACTTGGTGGCTCGCCATCCGCTGAGCTTTGTATATCTTTTTAGTTGGTTTCGAAATGGGTTTCCATTTCACCCGCAAAGAGTCACACTTTCAGCGGGGGATGTGAGGGCAGCCCAGCAAAATGCTTGGCGTTGTAGGGGATCACACAGCCCATAGACCCAGCCATGAGGACCGGGCTTTGTTCGGAGCGAAGGCAGAGGACCCGCGGCCAGCGCCGAATGGTGTTTTTCAAAATGTGTTCCATCAGCATGGTGAGGGTTGAAAAGAATCTTACTTCCTGAGTTCATGAACTTTAAACTTTTTGGCCTTGGACCATTTTAGTGGTAAATTTAAAGTTTGGACTTTTTTTGGGCCATCCACTCAGCAAGTGAGGAATGCTCTGTGGCTGGTTTCTCGGTAAGAGTATCATGTGGATGAACGAACTCCTGCACCTAAGGAACCCTGGAATGGTGATTGCCCGCAAATGCCGACCACTACGGGTGTCTCATGCCATCCAGAGTATGAACAAGGCGAACCACAGATCTTCGCATCACACTACTGGACGACGGGCGTTTGAGACCCTGAATGTTTATATGTGTGGGCCATCGTGGTATACGGGCGATATGGTGGCCACCCCCTTGGCTATCATCGCACTGGTTCCCAAGACACAAGCGAGCCATGTGCTCAAGACATCCGCCGCAAGACTCGGTGGGTATGTTTGCTTGAGGAGGACACCCTTGTGTGATGGTAAAGGGAAATGCTAAAGGGCAAGCCATAATTTCCGGACTTCTTTGTTTTGAGACATCCAAGCGTATGTTTGCACGCCGGCGGGGCGGACAGCAGGAGACGATTTTGGATGGTTCGGACAACTGATGACAACACAAGGATCCTTTTTGATATGCTGCTTGGAGATTGTCCGGAGTTGACAATGGAGGACAACACCAGGAGCCTTTTTGATATGCTTGACCTAGTGTTGTCCACAACTAGTGACCTACATACACTAGGACAACAGGATCCATGCAACACTTCAAGGGTCCCTGCATGGATCGGAGCGGAATCTTTTCAGTCTGGGGCTAAACCTCGAGGTAGCACAGGTGCCTGCTTCGGAATGCCTCCGAAGCCGCGGCAGCAAGGTTAGCTTATTAATGTTACTCATGCCAGGTCCCCCAGTAGTGCCCTTTTTACCCTTTTTTGGGGGGAGGGTTCCCCTACTAAATAGACTACAGGAAAAAGGGTACCCTTATTCCAACCACCTTTTTCAGGGCCTTGTTTTATTCCTCTTCAGTTTGACATGCCTCTTAAAGGGCCTTTTTTTTGTTGTGCCTCTTACAGGGGTCTTTCCACTTCAGGATGCCGAGGAGGGATCTGAAGCCAAGGCGGGCCAGAATGGGCGACAGTTGCTCTCCCAACTGTTGCTGCGATGCTTGATGGATGCAGTTGTGGTTTCTCTTTGAATCCTTTTAAGCCACCCCGAAACGGATACCCTTCAAACAACAACACGGAACCATATTCAGACACCCTTCCACTCACCTGACTGAGAGATAGTGAGGTGAGCCTGGTTTGTTGTTGGGGGTACGCCTTAGGGTTCCCAGTGTACCCCCCCTTTCATGAGCCTCTACGAGCCTTGCTTGGGTCGGTAGGGTATGACAGCCAGAGAGGCTCGTACGGGAACGCCTGGGAGAGGAACCCGAGTGTCTGCCTTTTGCCAGGCGGTGGCTTTTTGTTGTTCGTTTGTTCCTTTGTCTGTGCTTTGTGCTGGTGTTTGCTCCAGTCTTCTCTAGACAAGTTGGCTGTGTAGCGTTGTTTGTAGTTTATGGGACATCAAGGTTCTTCAATCGGGTGGTTGATTGGTGTTTTGTTTGTGAGCATGCGCTTGTTCGGACTTCTACGGCTACTACTACTACTACTACTATTACTACTACTACTACTACTACTACTACTACTACTACTACTACTACTACTACTACTACTACTACTACTACTACTACTACTACTACTACTAGGACGACGACGACGACGACGACGACGACTACTGCCACTACTACTACTGCTGCTACTACTACTACTACTACTACTACTACTACTACTACTTGCAATACTTGCAATACTTGTTCAGACACATGGTAGAATGCGTTGCTCGACACCAAATACTGTGGATGGACGAAATCCTGCACCACTTAAGCAACCATGAGACACCATTGTTTGTTGGTATTTACAGGGGAATCAACATTCAGGGGTTTCTTAGGTGGTGCAGGATTTCGTCCATCCACAGTATGTTCAACCTGCATTGGGAATCGTTTGGTGGCAGCGCATCAGGTCTTGAACGTGTTTATCATTGGTAGACTGCTGGTATCATTGCACGCAAGCAAGTATCTAGGACCCCTGACTGACCACGGCAGCTCCATGTTCATTGATTTATTGTGTTGTCCAGAGGCTGTTCATCCTGGCTGGGTCCTGTGTTTGTAGCTGTGACAACAGCGCGTCCATGATGGCAGCTATTCCGAAGCCATGGTGGCACTGGCGTAGAGAAGCTACTCCGCATGCAATTGCAGCACACTTGCACTTTGGATGATGTCATTTCGGCTTCTCCAAATTCCGGGCTGCCTGAGCCCCCCCCCCCCGGCAGCAGTGGTTCATTGGCAGCCTCTAAATTCCTGGCTGGCTGGTCGCTTCACCACTCAATTTTTTGGAGACGCCCAACAAGCGTTCCTGTTTGTTCCAACATGGCAAGTGGGATTGTAACTTGTCCTTGTTCCGTGTTAGCATCGGAGGTTTGTCCCCTTTGTGTTCGGTCGGTTCACCAATGTTGAAAAACCCAGGCAAGGCTCTCTTTTTCTCAGGATTACAGGCATTGGCGTCCTTTTTATTGGGCTATTGGGCTATTG